CCTCCAGGGCTGGAAGAGCGCCCCCCTTTGGGCAAGGGAGCCACCCCCCCCCCCCCCCCGCGGGGGTTCGGCGGGACCTCCTCGCGAGTCAGCCACCTCTTCTTCGCCTCCCCCCTTTTTTCCCTCTCCAGATCGTGGCTTCTTCCAGCGAGGAGGAAGAAGAGGAAGTCTTCCTCTGTGTCTTTTTTTGGGGGGGGGGAAGAGAAGAGAAACACCCCCTCCCTTGAAATGCTGCGATCCCTCCGAGGCTCGCCTTACCCCGCACTTCTGCCTTGATGGGCTCCGGGTGCTCCTCCTTGTTGCGGCTGAAGAGCGACTCCACCGTCCCCACCGGCTCGGCCGCCATCCTTCCAGCCTGCCTGCCTGCCCGCCCGCCGCCGTTCCTCCGGCTTTATCTTCCTCCCGGGGGGAGGTCGAAGTCCGCCTCCGGTCAGCTGCGGGCGGTTGAAGGTTGGCGGGCGGGGATTAATCCTGCCTGTCGGCTCAGCATCTTTCCCCTCCGCTTTCAGCACTTTCTCCGGCTCCTTAATCCCTGGAGCATTTCCAGAAGGCTTGGTCCCTAGGCAGAGCTGGGAAGGAACTCCTTTACAAGCGCGTAACTACTTTCGGGGATCGAGTAACGCCACAGTAACTTTTACGATAGAGGTTAATTATCTCCGTTGTTTTTCAGGGTCTCCCTTCCCTGGTTCAATCAGAAGCAGCCTCGATGGAGGTGGCAGCCAAGAAATCGTAAGGCTTGAGATTCAAAAGGGCAGCCCTGAAGGGACTAGAAAAGATCGTCAGGTGTCAGGATGTGTCCCTGGAGACCGAGATCATCCACACTCATGTATTTCCACTCACCGTGTATGGGTGTGAAAGCTGGAGAGTGAAGAAAGATGGGAGGGGGGGAAATGGATTCTATTGAAATGTGGTGCTGGAGGAGAGCTTGGGCTGGCAGAAGGACGGACAAAGCGGGTCCTGGAACTGATCAAACCTGGACCATCTCTGGAAGCGGAAATAAGGAAACCGAGGTTGTCCTACTTTGGGTACATCATGAGAAAGTGGGATCTTCTGGAAAGGACAATAATGGTGGGAAAAGCTGAACACAGCAGGAAAAGAGGAAGACCCAATATGAGATGGACAGACTCCCTATAAGGAAGCCACAGGCTTGACTCTGCAGGATCGGAGCCGGGACAGGACAATTTGGAGATGTCTCCTTCTTGAGGGCCCCACAGGTCGGAAGCAACGCAATGGCACATGAACAACAACAACGACAATAAGCCTCTGCTCTTGGTCTGGCCTTATTTGGACAGGAGATGATGCTTGGTCCATGTGGTGAGGTTTGGCTCGGGGACAAGGATCTTTGAGGCATCCGGTTTGTGGCCTGCAAGCTCCATTGCCTCAACGTTGGCTTTTTACAGAAAAAGGAAAAGGAAAGAAGGGTTAAAGAAAGTCAGGGAGAAAGAAGCAAGGGAGGAGGGAAGGATGGATCGGAGGGTCATTGAGTTGGAAGAGGCCTCTCAGGTCATCCAAGGAAGGAAAGAAGAAAAATGGTTGGTTGAAATACCGAATAGTGGAACGAACATGATCCTTCGCTCTCCTGACCAGTCATAATCAACATGACAAATACAGTTTTTGTTTCTTGGGTGAGACTAATCCTCTTTGATCATCCCATTTGTGGGTTAAAGAAATACTGCCACTTTTCCCATTATCTGTATCCTCTCCGGATCAGGATTCTCACCAACAGGAGGAAGTGGAGTTGTCCAAGAAAGCTCACATAAAACAACAACAACAATTAGTCTTTTAAGGCGCTGCAATGGTTTTGTCTTCTTTATTTTTCACCTTTTGTGTTTTGCCGAACATGCCTTATGTCCGTAGACTGGGATAGAAGGATAGAAGCTAATAAATAAATAACGGAGGAGGACTGGCTTCCTCCATGAGGAGAGAAACTCCTGTTCAGGGGCAGACTCTGCATCCAAGCAAGAACTTGGATTGTCGAGTTTTCTGATCTCTCTCCTGCAGGAGGACTTATCCTGCACCCTCTAGACTCGACTGATGTCTTGCCCTTCCCCTGTAGCCTCCCAAGGTTCTCCAGGAGGTCATGGCGACTTACTCATGGGCAACACCATCACTGGACACCTCCCTGGGTTCAGTGCAAACTCTTTATTACATTCAAAAAAAGGTTGAAGCCCATCTTCTGAGCTTTAGATATTAACTCTCAGAACTGGAAGCCTAACATTGGGGGGGGGGTTCCAACTTTTTTGGCTTTAAGGGCCCCTGCCCTGCCTCTCCTCCCCCAAAACTGGAATGTTTCCGAGGGGCTTCTCGGAAAATTAATTTGGCTCTTGAGCTGAAAGAGGTTCCCCCCCCACCCAGCCGACATTGAGAGAGTCAAACACCACCTTCTCTGTATCTGACAAGAGCGGGCTGAGGCTGAGTCCACCCCTTTCCCCAAATGCCAAATCCGTGGCCAGCAAGACCATCTGCTCTCATCCATCCCCATCGCCCCAGCCTTCGTCTGTCCTGGACGAAGGCATTCCCTCTTGGCCTGGACTTAATTTTTGGACTACAAGGCCCCATCATCCCCAAGCCAAGACAGCCGGAGGCACTGTTTCCCATGAAAGAAAAAAGGAGGGAGAAGATTTGTTTTTTCCAACGTTGGACTTGATCCCACTGCCCCCGAGCCCTCGCTGTTCTCCTTTAAGAATTGTGATTTCAATTTTAGCGCACGCATGTGGCACATGCATACACGGACCTCTCTACCAGGGCAGTGAGATTTTCTGCTTCCCTGGCAGGGGCCTGCTTCTTTTGGGGCAGATGTGGTTCTTTGGATTCTACTCCATGCAGGTGAAGGTCTGTTCCTTAAAAATAAAAAAATAAAAAAAACAAACCCAAAGTAACAGGGTTGCCAAAAGAAAAAGCCAGCGCAGGCCCAGTCATCCGATCCCCTGCCCCATTGCCCGCCCCACTTGCATGCTGTCTTGCTCGCCCCCACCTCCTCACTCGCCCTTCGGCCCCCATGCTCTTCCACCTTTGCCCCTTTCCCTCTTATCCTCCCTTCCCTCCCTCTCCGACATTCCCAGCTCCCCTTCCCGTCGGACCCACCAGTGAAACGGAGGTGGTGGCGGCTATCAAAGAGGAGGAGGGGGGGAAGCATGGGGAGGACATGAGGAGAAACACAGAAGTTCTGGATTCAGGATAAAGTCCATGTGTAGGGAAAAAATTCCTCCGCTTGTTTATTTTGCTAATTTCACAGCAGACACTTAATATTTATACTTATTAAATAGCCAGCCATTCCCCATTCTCACATCTTGGATATAACGAGTTACAGTGGTGCCTCGACTTACGAACGTCTCGACATACGAGCATTTCAAGTTACGACCAGAATTCAGGAACCAATTAAGTTAGTAATTCGACACACTACTGTAGTATTGAAATTGTAATTTTCAGATGTAAATAGTGGATGTAATACAACACCAAGAAGCTCCTGCTAGGAGGATAATAGGAGTTGTAGTCCAGGACCGTTGGAGGGCACAGGATTGATACCTGCTCTGCATAGGGCACATGGCCAGTCTCCTGTTTCATACACAGATCATTCAGATGTGGTCGCTTTATTTCCAGGCTGTCCCCTGCTTTCAGTAGTTGATCAGTGGTATTGCTGGACTGGATGATGTGGCTAAAGAGTCACTCGGTGTGTGCTTTAGAGTCACAGCTCTTCGCTTGGGGAGATTTGCCGTGACCATAAAAAAAAGATCACAAGCTCCACATGTTAGCCTTGAAATAGGGGTTTCAAGAGGACAGGCCTCCTCGGGTGGTCGCCCTCCGGTTGTTCCCCGTTGCCGTTCCCATCTCTTGTGGCCGTTGCTGGGTGAGCTTGGAGATGTTCCTTTTCTTGGACTACAACACCCAGAAGCCTCAGCCAGCATGATAACAGGAGTTGTAGTCCAGTACCTTGGGAAGGCACTGGGTTGCTGCCTCCTCTTCTAAGAGAAGAGAGTATAAGGGTGGCTGTTTGGAATAGGGACACAGACAGGTAGTGAACTGCAAGAAAAATCCATTTAGGACTCATGTCATTTGGGAAAGGATAAAAAACAGACAAACACAGCATAGAAGTTTTTACACAATTTTATTTTATTTTTGACCTATAGGATTGCCCTAATGGGTGGTCCCTGCCGGATGCCCAGAGGAAGGCAAAAAACCTCCAGGACCTCCGGCCAATTTGCCCTGGAGGAAAATTCCTTCCCGACCCCAAATGTGGCGATCAGTGTTACCCTGGGCATATCAGCAAAGACCATAAACAAACACCAGGCCGCTGGCACAACATCCATAGACCCCCTTAGCAACAGCCCTGCTGGTTTGAGCATCTGAAAGCTGGAACACAGGGAAAGTTCTGTGTTACCTGAAAGATTAATAAATCTCTTCTGAAATACCATCTCATCCCGTCATTCAAACCTAAAAAAAAATGAGAAACAAGTTCAAGGACTGAATCTAGAACTTGATAAATTTACGACATTCTCCCGGAACCCTGCATCCACCTTACAAGGAGGATGTGGAGATTTCAGTTCCAAAACGTCATGATTCTGACTGGATGACCCACCTTCATGATTTTTATGGGGATAAAAGCACTAGAAATAAAATGAATGAATTACCTGTTCCTTGGTTGTTGTGGGTTTTTCGGGCTTCTTGGCCGTGTTCTGAAGGTGGTTTTTCCTAACGTTTCACCAGTCTCTGTGGCCGGCATCTTCAGAGGACAGCAAACTGTGCTCTGGTGTAGTTTGGCTAGGGCGTGGAGTATTTATGGCTGTGAGATGGGATGATTAGTGTGTATTGTTGTGGGTGTATTGTTTTCTGTGGATGGGTGATTAGTGTGTTTTGTTGTGGGTCTATTGTTGTGATAAGGAGATTATCTGTCACTGTGGTTGAT